CACAGAGCGGCTGGGCCCGTGAGCCATGGCTGCTGAGCCTGCGCGTCCGGAGCCTGTGCTCCGCAACGGGAGAGGCCACAACAGTGAGAGGCCCGTGTACCGCAAAAAAAAATAATAATAATAATAATTACTATTTATTGAGCACCGGTTATGTGCCAAGCCCTTAAGGGTGTCACATTTTATTTATTTTATCTATAATCCTGTTTGGCGAGGTAAACCAATATTATTCCCATTTTACAAATGCAAAACCTGAAGCATGGTGGAACTTGAAAGTAGCTACCACTCAGAAGTTTGCTGAATGCCAGATTGATGAACACCCATAGCTAGGATTAAAATTCAAGTTGCTCCTTCCAGAACACCACCCTTCTCCCCCAACAAAGGACTCACCGCTGGGCGCAGAGACCTGACTGAATGCAGAGTGAAGAGAAAGAAAAGGGACCCTGCCATACTCTGCATAATTTTTAAACTATAACCCTAGTTCTTGGACATGGAGTTTGTGGGTGGTTCTGAACCACAGAAGGATGTCTACAGTTGAGGAAAACTGTGATGCTGGGAAGAGTGAATGCTTTTGAGTATCTGTTATGCCAGGTTTTCTAATTAGCTGTATGACCTCTGGAAAGTTACTTGAGTTCTGTGCCTCAGAATCCCGTCCGTAAAATGGAGCTAGCATTCGCTTCAAAGAATTGCTGTGGGGTCAGCAGCGCAGAGAATTCCTATCTTTGTTCTGCCCACATTCGTCTTTGTGACCTCTTCTTTGCAGATAAGAACTCAAATATTTGTGGACTTGAAACAAGTTACCACAGCAACTTAAAAAAAACACCAGAAGAGTTAAAATGCCATTCTTGCTGCTCTTTTAATTAAAAACCCTAAACAGGCATACCCACTTGGATGTTACTTAATTAAGAATCAGTGAGGAAAAGATACTGAACTTAAGCGATGTCGAAAAGAAGTTCTGTTGACCAACATGGACTGTTCCCCTTAGGACCAGAGTTATAGCTGGAGTCAGAGAAAATACTTTTATCAGGTCCTTTGGGTATGGGTATCCTGTTGAAAACCAGACAAAAACAAAAACCAATTCTCTTTAGTCCGTGCATAAACACTGGAAGTAAATCCCTTACTTGTATTTTTAGAAAGATGTTTTCTGCGTTTCCTAGCCCCTTCTACCCAACTAAAAAATTCCAAAAGGTAGAATTTTAACTGCCGCCGGGAGACAGGCTGGGAGTTTAGGGGGCCCAGCTAATGACTCGCTACGCGGGGCAGCCTCAGGAGGGGGCGACTGTGCCCCGTTCGAGTTGCAGGGGGCGGACCGGAGCGCTCCCGCGGGCCTGCACGCACCAGCACTCAGGCGAGACGGGTGCGCGGCCGGGGCTGCAGCTGGCGCTGGCGACGCTTGCGCTGGCCGTTGAGGAGCTTCTGCGCGATCCTGCGCTCGTGGCCGCCGGGCACCCGCCAGTTGGTGCGCAGTTCCCGCTCGCGCCGCGTCCGGCCCTTGCTGCGCCCGGCCCCGCAGGCCGGGAAGTCGCGCAGGTAGTAGTAAGCCGGACAGTCATAGAGCTCCTCCTCGGAGCCAACCAGCGGCCACGCTTCGGGTGGCGGCAGCTGGGCCTGACCCTGGACACCAGGAAACGCCAGGTCCATCGCGCCTGGCCTCCTGGTCTGCCGCTCGCGCGCCCGTGCGCGCGAGTTTGTGGAGGCCCCCCGCTCCCAGCGCTTCGGTTGGCTCCGCCGAAGGGGGCGGGGCCTAGGGCTGACGTCACAGGACCGGGAAGGTGCTCAGCGCGACGCCTCTGCGATCTGGCACCTGGAACCGTGATCCTTTCCTCCATCCCGGCCTGTGCGCCGCCTGAGCGAGAAGGGTATTTGGCAAAATTCGATCAAACACTTATGTCGGTCAAAAATGGGAAATTATCCAAGTATCAAGTGTGAGGGAGCTGTGCATTACTCCGGCGGACTTTTATCAGCATTGAACATTTTGTTAGGCTATTTGATGACAGGAGTAAGTGCTCAATAAATGATGCAAAGTGAAAAATGAGCTTCTGAAGTAATATCTCTGGTATCCCAGTAATATATATTTAAAACATGTCTGGAGTGAAAGGAAATGCGCTGGAATGCTAAAAGTATTTCTGGCTGGTAGGGACATACACACATTAGTTCTTTTTTCCTTTCCACAGTCCACGTGTTTGATAAGGGGTACGAATTAACTGTATTAAGCGAGCGAGCGATTAAGAAGGGAAAGTCACCCTGCCTGGTGCAAGGCCGGGAACCGCGTGCAATTTCGGATTATCAGCAGGTGCCCAAGCCCTGCGGCCAGGGGACGCTAAAATTGTGGTAGCTTGATGCGCCGGCAGTTTTGGGGTGAGGGCCGAGAGTTGGGAGCGGCCGCGCGGGGGAACCAGCGCGAGCCCAGCGTCCCACCCGCCAGCCCCGGTTGCGCCCAGCCCCGCGGGCGTTGGGGGAAGGATGCTCCCCGAGAGCTGCAGAGGCGAGAGGAATCAGGCCGAGTGGCCTACGCTCAGAAAAGTCCAGACCTACCTCCTCGCCGAGGGCAGCTGCACAGCTGAGCAGGAGTCATTAACACCCTGCGGCACCCGAGGCTCTGCGGTGACTACCCGGTCTAATTACCTAATTACTGTCTCCGTAAACGCTGCTCTCAGGGAGTTATTGCGAAGAATGCCTTTGTTTTGGTTTGGTTTAACTAGCGCAGATAATTCTCTTCCCACGAAAATTGCATCTATCCCCTCGGGGATTTTCTTTTTAATAGATCGAAAATAATTCAATACTTTAAAAAAAAGTCCTTTTCAGGTATTTGATCTTGCTGAGTTTCTGTCTGTGACCAAGTTGCCAATTTGAGTTTTTTTTCTGCTCTCTCAAGTATCCCTGGTGGGGCGTGGCCTACATACCACGCTCTGAGGGCAATTTTGTTAGTTCCTTAAATGAGCAAATCCCAAGAGAGAGTTTTTAATAAAACGCAGAGAGGATTTTCTCTTCCACCCACGTGTCTTACACCTGCTACTGGGAAAGAGAAGCTAATATTTATCCCTCTACCACCCTCCCACACATCATCTCTTTTAAAAACTCTCTTTAGAATTTGTTATGAAAATATTCAGACCTTCTCAGAAGTGAAAATAGAACAAAGAACTCCCGTATCTCATCACATGGATTCAACAATTATCAAGATCCTGTCAGGTTTGCTTTACCCCTTTCTGTTTTGCTCTGCTGCAGACCTTACGTCATTTTACTCCTGTATATCTCAATATACAGCTCTAAAAAACTAGACTTTTTTCCATAACCTCAATGCCATTTTCATACTTGACAAAGTCAGCTTGGCCCTGTTATCATCTAAAACCCAGTCCAGAATCAAATTTCTCTGATTGTCTAAAAGACAATAGAAAACATACAACTCAGAATACATACAGAATCTACACATGAAATTTTCTTGTATGGTGTTTAAGTCTCTTATAATCTAGGGTGGGCCCCTGCCCTTTTCATTTTTCCCTGTCATGACTTGCTGCAAAAACTGGGTCAGTTGTCCTGTAAAATGCCCCACTTTGTGGATTTTTCTGTTTCCTTGTCGTGTCATTTAACTTCTTCCTCTCTCTCCCATATTGTGTAAATGGAGGTTGGCTCTAGAGGCTAGGAGGTGATGTGTGTTGGTATCACACCAGGAGACCCGCAATAGCTCATGGTCCCAGTTTCAGTGATCAGTAGGCTCAGGTGGTGACAGCCTGCCCCTGCAATTGTATAGTTCCACATTAAGCTTTTATCTAATAGTTTCAACCATAGTTCATTGCTTTATTTGCTGTTTTGTTCATCTGCTATTATCTCATTAGGGGCTGTGAAATGGTAATTTTCTAATTCAATCCTTTCTTCCACATTTATTAGCTAGAATTCTTTCCCTCATGAATTTAGACTCTTTGGTTACCCTGATATATCTTTTTTCTTCCAGTTTTATTGGTATATAGTTGATGTACAGCACTGTATAAGGTGTACAGTGAAATGATTTGACTTAATACTTCATGAAATGAGGACCACAGTAAATTTAGTGAACATCCATCATCTCATATAGATACAAAATTGAATAGAAAAACATTTTTTTCTTTGTGATGAGAACTCAGGATTTGCTCTGTTAACTTTTGTATATCACATACAGCAGTGTTAATTATATTTATCATGTTGTATGTTACATCTCTAGTACTTATTTGTCTTATAGCTGGATGTTTGTATCTTTTGACTACCTTCATCCGATTCCCCCTCCCCCCCATACCACTCTCCCACACATTACCACTAGACCTGTCCTACAAGAAATGCTACAGGGATTCCTTCAGGTTGAAATGAAAGGACGCGAGACAGTAACTTGTAGCCAGATATAGACATAAAGATCCCTGTTAAAGGTAAATACATGGGCACATATAAAAACCTATTGTTGGGGCTTCCCTGGTGGTGCAGTTGTTGAGAATCCACCTGACAATACAGGGGACACGGGTTCGATCCCTGGTCCGGGAAGATCCCACATGCTGCGGAGCAACTAAGCTCATGCGCCACAACTACTGAGCCTGTGCTCTAGAGCCCGTGAGCCACAACTACTGAGCCCACGTGCTGCAACTAGTGAAGCCCGCGTGCCTAGAGCCCGTGCTCCACAATGAGAGAAGCCACCACAATGAGAAATCCGCGCACTGCAACGAAGAGTAGCCCCCACTCGCCGCAACTAGAGAAAGCCTACACGCAGCAAGGAAGACCCAACACAGCCCAAAATAAATAAAACCTATTGTTATAAATTTTTTTGTAACCCCACTTTTAATTTTTCACAGGATTTAAGAGACAAATGCTACAGTAATCAAAACATGTAGTACTGGAATAAGGCAGACATATACACCAATGAATCAGAATAGAGAACCCAGAAGTAAGCTCTTGCATATATGATCAAATGCTTTTCAACATTTGGTTCTGGGTAAACTGGATATCCATATGCAAAAGAATGAAATTGGACCTTTACCTTACATCCAATACAAAAATTAACTCAAAATGAATCAAAAACCTAAACATAAGCTCTAAATCTATAAAACTCTTAGAAGCAAACATAGTGGAAAAGCTTTATGACATTGGATTTGGCAATGATTTCTTGGATATGACACCAAAAGCACAGACAACAAAAGAAAAAATAGATAAATTAGACCTCATCAAACTTGAAAACTTTTGTGCATCAAAGAACACTATGAAGAGAGTGAGAAAGCAACTTATGGAATGAAAGAAAGTATTTGCAGATCATTTATCTGATAAGGGTTTAATATCCAGAATATATGAAGAACTCCTACAACTCAACAACAACCAAAAAACAACCCAGTTTGAAAGTGGGCAACAGACTTGAATATACATTTCTCCTTTCCTAACCTTCCTTGCCATATTGATTTCTAGCCCCCTGTGGTACTCCAGCAGCTGTGATAAACAATATGGGGTCTGTGCCAGTTACCAATCTATTGCCTTTTGGCTCCAAATTCACCCTTCATTGCTTGCTGTGCAAAAATTGGAGCTGGACCATTTAAGTATTTTTTTCTTTACCAGTTGGCACAATGTTAGTCTTTGTCAGGTGAGGGCTCCGGAGAGTAATTGCAGGAGGAAGGGGTTTCCTTTCTCATTCTAATGTACTCTTTCAGCAGGCTCCTGCAGCATGCATGGGTTCCTTAATGCTCAGCTCCTGTAGTGCAGATGGCTTCCCCAGCACCAGGGTTCTGCAGCTCATGTAGCTCTTCCAGAGCCCCACTCCTGCAGTGACAGTGGCCAGCACCACCCAGCCAGTAGTTTTCCCCTGAATCCTCCCATCCTTGGTTGCCTTTGTGTCAGGGTGCCTCCATTGAGATACCTCTCCAAGAATGACTTTCCTTGACACCCTAGAAGGTAGGTTTCTGGCAAGTTCTGGAGGGCAAATTTCCAGCAACTACCATTGCTGTGTAAAGCTCAGCTTCTCTGTACACCAGTCCCAAATCTCAGACACAGAGTTTTGGGTAAAGTAGAAAAAGGATAGCTTTATTACTTTGCCAGGCAAAGGGGGACTCCTGCCTGGAAAAACTATGTGTCCCAACCTGGGAGGATTTGATGAGGGGTTTTACAACAATGGTTCAAAGGTGGGGTCTCTGACAAGATTAGGGTGAGTGCGCCCGCTTGCACTCCCTTAATCTCTTCTCAGATGGTGGGTCTCCTAATCTGGATGAACTTCTCTGGTTCCTTTCATCTGACCTCAGCTGGTTTCTTGGCTGCTCCTCCCTTGATGAGCAACTGTTCGAATCTGCCCTTTGGAATTCTGGGAAGGTCATGGAGACTGGAGTCTTGCCTATAAGAAACAGGGGACAAAAGGGCCTCTATACCTGGGAGCCTCACAGGGCCTCACTCGGTTTCACCACTGGCCCAGCATTGAGCGACTTCTGTGCCATCCAGTTACCCACAGCTGTGTAACTCTCCAACAAGGTCTGGATCTCAGCCCTGGTCCTCTACCTTAGCTTAGGGAGTGATGGATGCACCTTATATATGCCAATCCTATATTCTTTAGAGTTCTCTTTACTTTTTGGCTAGCAGCCAATCCCACTCTACTCAAATGCCCTATTATAGTTAACACTTACATGTATTAAAATTTTGCTGTTCAAATTGCTGTGTGGCTTCCATCTCCCAATTTGACCCTGAGTGATACAGGGTCTCTGCCCAACACAACAAGGAAGAAGGACACCCAGTCTCTCACCATTATACAATATGGTGTGCTACACCAGTAGTGGGA